CGAGGGAATAGGAAGCCAGAGGAATAGGAAGCTGAGGGAATAGGAAGCCGGAGGAATAGGATGCTGAGGGAATAGGAAGCCGGGGAATAGGAAGCTGAGGGAATAGGAAGCTGGGGGGAATAGGAAGCTGAGGGGAATAGGAAGCTGAGGGAATAGGAAGCTGAGGGAATAGGAAGCTGGGGGGGATAGGAAGCTGAGGGAAAAGGAAGCTGGGGGAATAGGGAGCCGGGAAACAGGAAGTCGGAGAATAGGAAGCTGAGGGAATAGGAAGCTGACGGACTAGGAAGCTGGAGGAATAGGAAGCCGGGGAATAGGAAGCCAGGGAATAGGAAGCCGAGGTAATAGGAAGCCGGGGAATAGGAAGCCGAGGGAATAGGAAGCCAGAGGAATAGAAAGCTGAGGGAATAGGAAGCCGGAGGAATAGGATGCTGAGGGAATAGGAAGCCGGGGAATAGGAAGCTGAGGGAATAGGAAGCTGAGGGAATAGGAAGCTGGGGGGAATAGGAAGCTGAGGGGAATAGGAAGCTGAGGGGAATAGGAAGCTGAGGGAATAGGAAGCTGAGGGAATAGGAAGCTGAGGGAATAAGAAGCCGGGGAATAGGAAGCTGGAGGAATAGGAAGCTGAGGGAATAGGAAGCTGAGGGAATAGGAAGCTGAGGGAACAGGAAGCCAGGGAATAGGAAGCTGAGGGAATAGGAAGCTGGGGGGAATAGGAAGCTGAGGGAATAGGAAGCTGGGGGAATAGGAAGCCGGGGAATAGGAAGCCGGAGAATAGGAAGCTGAGGGAATAGGAAGCTGGAGGAATAGGAAGCTGGAGGAATAGGAAGCTGAGGGAACAGGAAGCTGAGGGAACAGGAAGCCGGGGAATAGGAAGCCGAGGGAATAGGAAGCCGAGGGAATAGGAAGCCGGGGGAATAGGAAGCTGAGGTAATAGGAAGCCGGGGGAATAGGAAGCCGAGGGAATAGGGAGCCGGGGAATAGGAAGCCGAGGTAATAGGAAGCCGGGGAATAGGAAGCTGGGGGGAATAGGAAGCCAGAGGAATAGGAAGCTGAGGGAATAGGAAGCCGGAGGAATAGGATGCTGAGGGAATAGGAAGCCGGGGAATAAGAAGCCGGGGAATAGGAAGCTGGAGGAATAGGAAGCTGAGGGAATAGGAAGCCGGGGAATAGGAAGCTGAGGGAATAGGAAGCTGAGGGAATAGGAAGCTGAGGGAATAGGAA